CACACACACCCGCACACACACACACACACACACACACACACACACTTTTCTCACTATGAGGATCTAAATCTAAAAACAAAAGATTTAGGATCTAGATTTAAGAATAAAATAAAATAAAATAAAAAATAAAATAAAATAAAACAAAACAAAATAGATTATTTTATTTAGGAATATTTAACTGGAGTTATCATCTGTTCCAAAAAATATTGCTTTTTATTCTTTCTAATTCAGCTTTAACCACTTGATGTAAAAACTCCAATAATATAATAAAAAAAACATACTAAATAAATACATTTTAAAAAGGTATTTTTAAGATACCCCGGACTATTTAGAATATCATATTCAGAACCATAAGTCATTTAGAATAAGAACAGTGCTGTAATATTTCGTTTGAAAATCTCTCGTTCACACTGTTGGGATCTTCAGCATTCATCAAACAGCAGAGAGTCATTTGCATACCGAATTCTGATTGGTGTTCTTTCTGGAATGTATTTGCATACTGATCAGTGATTGGTCAGGAGTGTCTCCTATCTACCGCATCATCGCAGAGCAGCAGAAGCGCTGTGTTCCTCCTTCGTCTTTTAGAATTATTTTTAGGTTTAATCAGATTGAACTCACTTCCAAAGACTATTTTCTCACCCAAGTATATCTGAATTCATACACAGAAACTAGTTGGAGAGGTTAGTTAGTTGTACCTTGTGGTCCCCCATACACACGTTGGGTCCGATGTTGTCATACGTTATTAATTTCTCCTCGTTCTCTGGCTGCAAAACACAAACACACACAAAATATGATTAGATACAGAAACAAAGCACATGCATACATGTAGCTAAAATACTAAGAGATTTGATATGGTCACAGTTAAGCGCCAATAAATCAGAATTCAGGAGCTTTTTCATATCTGAAGTGCAGCGAATGCATGAATCATATTTATCTGAATTGAAAATAATGCTCTGAATCGAGCGAGACAGAGACGACGCGGTGCTCTTTAGAAAGCACACACAGATTGTGTTTTCTGAGCTGAGCTAAACTCACAGAAACTCGAGAGCAAGAAAAGCTCGGCTGCTGTTTTACCGAAAAGACCAGAGAATAGCACTTTAAAGTCATGCACAAAATATATCTGTAAATATAAACATCTGAATATGCCCATGTTCCCAGCTCCTGTCCACTTCGTAGCTGTGAGGATGAAACATTAATACATTTTATTGTCAATTTATTCCGAAATCGAATTTATACTCCCATGTTTAAATCTTTAGTTACATTTAAAAGGTATTATTTGCTGCTATAATGACTAAGTATATATCCTATACGTCTAAGGAATATATCTCCAATTTATTTTTGTTTGGTCATTTTTTTTATCCATAAACAGAAATATTTATATTTATCTCTTTACATTTTTTTGACTGAGGTAGACTCACTTCTCAAATCTTATTCTATAATTAGTCATAAAAAATGTGATTAAAAATGCAAAATTCTTCTGTGATTATATTGATGAAGTTTATAGTCTGCTTGTCAATGTTTTACATTTCATTTTTTATTAATTTATCACTACTTTTATTTTAAATTACATTTATTTAAAATTGTATTTATTTTTTATTCATTCAAATTTTTGTTTTATTTATTTATTCATTACTACTTATATTTTGTATTATATTTATTTATTAATTTATTATATATATATATATATGTATATTATTAATTTTATTATATATATATTTTTTAATTAAAAAAGTTTCCTCTGCTTGTCAGTATTTTCCATCCATTTATGTATGTATTCATTTATTACTACTTTTTAAAAAAAGTTTTATTTATTTAATTTTTTGTCTATTTATTAATTAATCGCTACTTTTACTTATTTAAATTATATGTTTTTAATATCGCATTTTTATTTTTTGGTTTTATAATTCATTTATTACTAATTTTACTTTGTAATTTTTTTTTGTTTTAATTTTTTAAATTGTATTTATTTAATGTTATTTTTTAAAATTAGTATGTTTTTAATATTGCATTTTTTTTTTTTTGGTTTTATAATTCATTTATTACTACTTTTTCTTTTTTTTTTTTATTATAATGATCTGAAATTGTATAGATGTTTTTTTTATTTAATTAATTTTTTCCCCTTTCTCTTGTTTTAAGCCTCGTTTGCTCCTAGCAATGTTTTATGTAGATTTTATGCTCCGCTGCGGCGTCCTGTGCCTCCCAAAGCCTCCATACATTCATCAAACGCAGGCTTGATAATTTACAAAGGCAGCATAAAATTGTGTATTTTCGGCCGGTGTAATCTTTAGACAGATAAACAAATGACGGCAGGAGCCGGGGCGTTCCTCCACCCGCACTTGACTGGCTCTTCATTACGGCACACACTCCGCCGCAGACCTCTGGCGTGTTAGGGCTCGGCGAGCAGAAAATAACACGACGTGGAGCTAACAGAGCGCAGCATGATAGATGAGGCTGTTTACGAGCCGTGTCTGAACAATCTGCAGCGCCGGCGCTCGTCTCAAACAGCGCTGGTCTCAGCTACTCCACTGCGCCGCAGTAAGAGCGGATCTCTTCATTAACCTCGTTAGTGCTGATGAACATCACTACTGCTGTCTAACACAGCGGTCGGGTCGTCTGGTCTAAACACAGGCTTTCTGCAGGTCAGTTTAAGAGCATGCAAAGGAACACACTTCAAAGTTTGCTAATGCAAGAAAAGTCATGCATGCATGCAGCAAAAAAGTCATGCTTTTCTTCAAGACTTCCGTCTCGTTTTCCAGTGCAAATGTCTAAAGATTCATAAATCGGGACACGTTTACTGCAGATATAAAATGACAGAAGATAAAGAAGTCTTGTTTATGAGAAACTGATCAAAATCTGTCAATGGGCTCAAAAAATTCAAAGGGAAAATTTGTTCTTGTTTTAATCATAAACTCAGTTTCTCAGAAAACAAGACTTCATATCTTCATTTAGTGTCTCCAGTAAACGTGTCTTGATTTAAGCACGTTTGGATATTTGCACTGGAAAACGAGACTGAGGAAGAGACTCATGCTTTTGCATTTAATGCCACGACTTTCTGAATTTAAGACGTTCTGATCTGCTCTGCTCTGATCTGGATGGATGGGTGAATTAAGACCTTTTAACCTATTTTTAGGACCCTGCAGAAACCCAGTAAACAGAAATCAACCTATTGCACTGATGTCTCCTTTCTTTCCGTCCGTATTTTTAGTTTAAAACGAAGCGGAAGACACTTCACACTCCCCAAACCTCAAAATGAAGAGCTGAAGGAAAGGACTTCTTTCAGGCGTCATGCATTGCATTTTTATTTTATAACGTTTCCTAATGTTCACTTATAATGCCAGTAAGATTTTAACATCCTAAACTCATCATTTAGAAATAAGCCTGATTTAAACACTGCGTTTAAGGGGTGTGTCTTCTTTAAGCCCACTGCTGTGATTGGCTAATATATATCTGCATATGAAATAAGCATTACTTATGAGGTGGATACTGTGGATTATAGTGTTATATTTCAATGCAATCCATCAGAAGACAATAGAGTCGTCATTCAGATCGGTTCAGATCAATAACCGTCGATGCTGCACAATGCATTAATTGTGAAACCATCAATTAGCGTTTAAACTGTAATCATCTCACCTTGACGAGCAGGTCTTTGGCCGAGGTGGACATGAGGATCCGGTCACACCAAGAGGGACATCGAGTGTTCATGTACTGCTTTCCCTGACTGCAGTCTTCACTGTACGGATAACTGCACAAACACACACTGTATTCACTCATAATTGGTCAGAGGTGTCAATCTGTGATCCATAATCACTAAATTATGAATGCATTTTAATTTTACAGCATGAGATCATAACCAGAGTCTGTGCGTTTGTGTGAAATGCATCGTCTGCTATTGCAAATGCAAATGTTCTGTTGTGACTAAAACTACAATCAGCAGCAGAAATCACAGAAATCACACGTTCATAATGCACGTCAAAATCAACGTTATTTTGCATTCTGAAAATGATGCCTATTTTCATTACGATTTGGTCATTTGTGACATTATTCTTATTTCCCTCTCAATTCTTTTTACTGTAATGCAATGCAATGCAAAAAACACACCTCGTTTTTATTTAATGAAAATCATCATTTATTATTATTTTTTAATTATTATTCAATGTGCATAAAAGAAATTAAATACAACTAAAACTATTGTGATGTATACTTGTATTTTAAATAATATAATTTACATATATATTATTTTCTTCACATTTTATTTCTACTTTCAACAGTGTTGCTTTAAATAATGCATTCTAGCATGAAATAAATTATGTACACCAGATGCATATTTTCATGTGTGTTTGAAGATGTACTTTAAATAATATTTTTAAATAATTAATTATTTTCTTGACTTTATGGGATGTTTTTGCAAAAACTACTGATGTATACTTTCAATAGTGTTTTAAAATGTACTTTAAATAATATAATTTAAATTAATAATTAATAATAAGCATAGCACAAAATAAACTCTACACAACAAAAACTACTGTGACGGTTACTCAATTGTGTTTTAAGACGTACTTTAATATTACTTTAAATTATATAATAATTATAATATAGTATAAATTATATGATATAA